TCCCTTATAGAAATTTATCACTAGAAACGCCAATTTATCACTTATTTCGAGTACTTAAAAATTACTGTACATCAGTATTTTAAGTACTCGAAATAAGTGATTAATTGGCGTTACTAGTGATAAATTTCTACAAGGGTTATTTAAACATCCAATAATAGAGATAGTCTTAAAAAGTTCAAAAATTAATATATCCACTAAACAAAAACTAAAACTAAACGTAAAATTGGACATTCTATGCTCTCTGGATTCCGGCAAAAAATAAAAATGGCGGAAATGCTCCCAGTTAGCAAAATGTTTACAAATTGCGCGCAAATTGGCAGCAAATTACATCAAAATTCCACACCAAATCCATATAGCCATCTGTGTCCGCATTAAAGCTCGCGTATTTTGATGACAAACCTTGCTGACATAACTTGACAGTAAATTGGTGACAAAACCCGAGCAAAGCTTGACGTCAGATTTCACGCACACTGATCTTGCTTGGCTTTGTCGTCAATTTGACATCAAGTCATGTAGTAATTTGCTCGCTTATTTTTGCTGCCAATCTGCTGTTGTCGAGTTTTGTCAGCAAGCTTCGCTCGGTTTTTGCTACCAATCTGCTAGCTTAATTAAGTAATAATAATTCTTGTAGCTAAATTGTTGATAATAATTTGTAGCAAGCATGTGACAAAATCTGTTCGAACAGACTTGGCGTACTGGGCTCTTTTAGTGTAGTAAATGTCATGTCAATAGACATCCAAATAATGTTGTTCGACGTCAAAATGATTTGCGCTACTTAAGATACGAGTATTACTCTTAATCAATTTGCAAGGTTTTCTTTTAAATAACGGTAGAAAGTATATCACCTGTCAAGGTCATGTATATACACTCTACATGCTAGAAATGACATTATAGTTGTGCTGATTGTTTCCAGTACCATCTATTGGCAAAATTTAATAATATAAATAATTATATATAATATATTTAGCAGTTTCTCATTATCGCCAAATGTTTTTTCTTGCAAACTGAGATTATTATAGTAACAATATCCACTTACATGAAGCGTTTGGGAATTTATGATAGTCCATTGTAACAATAATACAATTGTTTTCTCAGTTTCAACACTTGTTCGAGAGGTGATGCGATCCTGGTAATCTTCATTAATTATAGGAACTAGCGTATATTGTTCTAATTTCAGTCAACCATCTGAAAAACTATACAGAAAAAAACTTTGATAAAGAATTGAAGAATACCTCCTCTTGATATTCGGGGTTTAAAAATTCAATGCGATACTGTGGTGATTGCGTGAACTATCTGAATAGACGTCGCGAATATACATCTAACATTATCTTATTATTATTTGCATAATTAATTAATAATGTTCCAGTGATCACATGAGATTCTGATGTCAAGGCACTTATTTGTAGACATAAGGAATATAAACATGGGCGTCCGTAAAATTTTTTCTAGGAGGGGACATATTAGAATTTTAAAATTTTTTGTTCTTAATTCTTTTAAATTTTATTTTTTTTATTTTTATTCTTTTATATTAAATATGCAAATAAATTTTAGTGTTAATTCAAAAGGAGAGCAAATGCTTAATTTTTTTTACTAATTTCAAGGGAGAGCAAATGTTCCTTTTGCTTCCCCTCTGCGGACGCATGAATATAAATATTCTTATATAAATATTCTTTCTCGACTTTTCATAGTTACACCGCACATACTAATCATGTCGGAATTTTATAACATTCTGGTCTTCAATCATATTCCTTGATGAAGGCGTAGCTTTTGTATAATCACAGAGTGTGTTTAGCCGCAATGACATCTTTTTCATTAAAAAAATTAATTTTTACACTTAAAACTATTATTGTTGTATATTCGCAACGACCATATTTGTTTTGCTTCAGTAGCGCCTCTCTTACCACGTTGGACTTTTTTCGCCAATAGGACACAATTAAAAATCAAAATATAGATAAAATATATTTATATAAAATGTATACTTAACTAAAAAATATACTTTAACGAGTAAATATATTTTAATGAGTAAGTAGATAGTATAATTTAGAAAAAAAAGATGTATTTTTTATATTTTTACAAATAAGAAAAATTAATTTTTTTTAAATTTAAAATTTATATATAATAAAAGAAAAATATCTATATATATAATTTTATCTCAATTTATGTATAATTATATAAACAATATTTTCTCTTATTTCATAAATTTACTTTAAAAAAAAAATGAATATTTTTTGAAAAATATTTTGATGTTTTGTACAATTCTTTTTTTTCGAAAAAATATATTAATACTGTAGAAGATGTGCTTTTTTTTGTGATTTTTTCGACAATTATTTCTACATTTCTTATATGTAAATGTATAAAATCGTACACGAGATTAATTTTCGGAATCAAAAAAAACGAGACATGTAAAATAATTTCACGATGATAAATTTATAATATATGTATGATAATTACTTCGAAAGGTCAGAAGTTAAAGGTTTAATTCTCTATATGTTATTGTTTGTAATTTAATATGATCTGAGATGCCAATTTAGTATAATTTATAATTATTACTACATTACATTTTTTTGTATAAAATAATTTTTGCTTTTTAATATAACAAGACAAGCATACGATAATTTTTAATATTTATCTTAGAAAATTTAATTTAAAGAATAATATTTAAAAGTTAATAATCTTATGGAAGAAATTTGATATCGAGATATTGTAATTTATGACATAAACGATTAATATTTATTATTAAATATTTTAACACCTAACAATATTGTAAAAATTAAATCAGAATTCTAAAATCTATATTTACACAAAGAATAATTCTTTTTTTATATTTTGAAAAATTTATTTTTTTTTATTATTTATTCTTAATTGTTATTTTCTAAATAAAATAACATTAAAATACTTCTTGTCTTGTTATTATTGTACACAATATAGCAGTGTACAAAGAACATAATAAAAGGCACAACACAAGAGAAAGTGACGATTCTTAAGTAATCATACATACATATAAGATACGCATTAACATAAAAAGTGTTTTAGTTTGACCCAGCAAAAAGACCACACCCTCAAAAGTGGTTCACGTAAACCTGTTTTTTAGAGGTCGCAATTTATGCATACGCTCTCACATATATAAGGATACTCTTAATAAGATAACGATTTGCAAAGAATCATATTTTAACTTAAATTATAACTTTAGGCAAATTAACACCACTACATGTTTGGTTAAATTTTTCTAAATCAAAGAACAATAAATTCGATATTTTAGTATATTTTAAGAATAATTAATTCGAGAAAAATTTTAAAACTAAAATCATTCCAATAATTAATTGTGTTAATATATTTTTACTCTTGTAAGCAAGCTAACGTTCGATTCATTAAACAATAAATAAATTTGGAACTAATTTATTTTGAAAGCAATTAATTTACTACTTATCTATACATTTAATCGAACTTCGAAACAAGGATAATACATTTTGATATACTCTTTTAATTCAGTTTAAAAGTAGTCCACCTTTGAGGTATGGAAGCCTTTTGTCCAAAGAATATTTTTTCACCTGTACAATTTTATGCAGATGTCGATTTCACAATAACATACGAAAAACTTGATAGATATCGAAAAATTTAAATAAATATTTTATATTATTTAACTCGCGTATATTATTAATAATTTCTAATATTGAAAATATAAGTTTATCGCAGCAAAAAAGAGAAAAATACACCACAAATGACTTTTCCCTAATTGTAAGCATTTTAATAGGTCAATGCAGTCACGAATATTTCAATGCTGCTTATTCAAGCTGATGGTGAAGGTATAATCTGTGACGAGAGTAAAGGCTATTTATACCACGATTAATTCATCAGGTATTATTGTCAACGACAATCGCGACTGATTGATCTATTGAAACTAGTTGTTATACCATTTCCGCCATTAATCGCCAATTCTAAAGGATTCTTCTAATTACATAATTGGCACTTTACCAAATATGGCAATCGATCTACGCGAATATCACTATTAATTTCTCTTCTTTTCGATGGCAAAGTCTTGATTATACAATATACGTTTCATCCTGATTCTATTAAATCGATCACAATTTCTCACGCACTTCAAATAAATCACGCAACCAATTGTTCATCAACAGACTCAGAGAGAAATGATAGTTGAATGATAATCGATGTCAAACTGATCGAATCGATGTCGATTCGATCATCATTTCTTGCTGGGGAGTTGGGTAATAACTATATAATTAAGTCGTTAAAAGTTAAAAAAAAGTTAAAAAGTTAAGAACTTTTAATTTTTTTCCTAAGTTAAATTAAAAAACTTTTTTCCTAAGTTAAATTTTTTAAATCTTAATATTTTATCTTAGTATTTTAAAAATTTAACTTTTGATTTAACTTCAGTTAATTTAATCTTAACTTAACTTTAACTGACAATGAGTTAATTTTTTGTTCTTGCAACTTAATTAAATTAATTTTATAAGCAACTATATATATATAATTTTAATTTAACTTACAATTAGTTTTGAAAAATCATTAACTTATCTAACCCCCTGTTCATCAATCAATGTAAATAAAATTTTCAACTAAAATGTTCCTAAACGATCCTTTCATATTTATATTTTCGATATAATTATTGATAATTGACAATTTTATTTTTTAATATTTTAGTAATTCAAAAATTTAATAATAATTCTAAAAATTTTTACATTTTTTACTTATTACGCGTTTATATTAAAATGTCGCCGATTAATTAAATGCAGATAACCAACGTAGATAAATATCTTGATTGCTTATTGTTTAAAGAATATCGATTAAGATAATTTCTCTTTAAACAACGATTTAAAAAATTTTATTTTTAATTTTTTGAAATTTTATAACTTTTTTTATTTTTTTCAAAAATGATTGTAAATGTATGTATATAACTTTCTTGAACAATTATCTCTTAACATATATATTTCAAAAAATAAAACAACCTCAATTTTTACATTGTCAAAATACATACTTTTTAGGATGGACAGAGAGTGCAAAATCGTGGTACAGCACGATATCAAAATTCTAAATTAATCTCGGAATCCAGCGACTTTACAATCAGATCGCCTCACGACAAGAGCTTTCGTTCAGAAACGGCTTCCAATTTAGAGAAAAATGAAACGCATTTTGAGAGAGAAAGTTCCTCCAGATCGCGATCGAAATTATCAAGGACAATCGATAGTTCCGCTGTTACATCACAGACGAATGCGAGACATTTAAATTCCAATGTCGACAATTCTCGAAATCGTTCAAGATTGCATACCACACAAGCGTCTAAAGAGAAAAGAATTAAGAGTAGATACGATAATAAAGAGAATGCGCCTGAATCGCAAGTGCGGCCGAAACAGCAGCAGATTTCTCGAAGAACATTTTCGGATGCGTCTTCCATCTGGGTAGAAAACGCGAAGTTAGATCAAGAAGTGTCCACAAAATCACCCGACCACCTGAGATCAAGAACAGGAAGGAAGATTTATACAATTGACAACGGGAAAGAATCGAGAAGTCGAATGATTCCATCCAGAAAATCGGCGAGTGAAGACGCGGAAAAAAACAAAAGTCCGATTTCCAGTAACCTGGAAATGAAGGAAGTACGATCGAAATATTCGAGAAGAATCGAAAATCTTACTTTAATAGCTGATCTATCAAGAATGATGGATCTGAAAAACACGAACGACTCTATGAATCGTAAAAAAGAAGGTGCAAGAGAACGGGATGTTCTGTTGTTAAGCTCGGAGAATATCTTGAGAGTGGACGTTCCTTTGACAACAATTGGAACTAGTGAAAGCGCCAATAATCAAATAACCACGACAATCTCGTCCGTGTCTTCAAGGCAAACTTCGAGGCTGGTCAAGGAAAGGGTAGAGATCAATGATATCATGACATCGAACGCCAAGAGGAACAAACAGTCCCTTCGATCGAGATCCAGGAATATCTCCAATTCCGAGACAGCAAAATCCGAAAGCGTCCCCTTTCGGAGGAATTCATCTAGAACAGGCGATTCTGCGAATGCCAGAACAAATGGACGATCTTCTAGTGCTAAACGTAGGTCTAATGCGAAAAATGTTAATTCCAGAAATAGAGCCACGCATAAGTCGAGAGACTCGAACACAGCAGAAACAAGAAATGATGACAGAAACAAAAATGTGGACACTAATTCCGAGACAAATGCGAGTGGACAGACGAATACACGACGTAATTTGTCCAACAATAGACGCGCATCTGAAGGAAAACGGGAATTTAAGAATGATCGTAAATTACAGAAAGTTACAGAAGCCAAAATAGAAAAATCAAATGGCAGGACAGAGTCTGAAAATTTGTCCAGTACAGTTAACAGTTTCGGTAAATAAGACTTTCCTTTTATATTATATTGTTAAACAATATTCAAATTATACATATAAATTACGGGACAATTATTAATTGATATTGTTAGAGTGATTCTAACGCTCTTTTATCGATAGTAGCCAGAGAGAAGTAAGACTAGAGCGCGGGAGTCCCTTTGAAAAGCGTAAAGTTATTAGAAAAAGAGGCGTAGCTGAGAAAATATATATATATATATCTGTCTTTGTCTGATACTGCGTTTGCGCTACCAGACAGAGACAGTCGGATACTTTCAGCTATGCCTTTCCTTCTATTGATCTGACATCTTCACCTGTTTTTTTATGGGTCGCGCGTTTTAGTCTTACTTTTCTCTAATAGCAGCGCGAAGTTAGATTCGACTATGAATCTTTTTATTGATTCCCCATTGCAGAATTATAAATTGATAATGAATTTATAATTCTATACCTAGATATATGAGACTATACAGATTGATAAATCTTTTTCCTGTACAAATTAAATTATTAATATTAACAAATTGCGAAGTGCTCTAATTTCAAGTAAAAAATAATCCGTATAACCAATAAATAGATTTATAGCTAAATTTAACCTCACATTTTGTCGATAAAACAGAATTGAAACTTATAGGTTAGCTTATTAGGATTACTCCCCTTAATATTTTAATTGTGGAAAAGGATTTATCAATTTGTATAGTCAATCAAACTATTGATATTTGAACTCATAAATTTATGATAATTAATATTAAAATATTAATATTAACCAAAGGGGGATAAAAATGATTTTTTAATCTGTATAACTAATAAATAAAAGATTCTTAGCCAAATCCAATTCGCGTTTTATCAATAAAACAGACTTTTTAGGATCCCCTTAATATTATTAAAAAAGTTTAATAACAAGAACACATTTTTTCAGACGTTGTCACTACTCCGAGGGCGATAATTGTTGAAGCTACGACTGTTTTATCTCTGAATCCAAAAATTGCAACATCTGATTCTGCTTCTACGACGATCAGGTCATCGACAGCCCAAATATCGTCTTCAACCGAACAAGTTTCTCGAAACAAGAAAAGAGACCGAAAGGAGGATTCTCGATCGCGGGAACTCTCGAAAACAGATTTCTTTAATCACGGTCTAGGCTTTCGGGGAAGGATCTCGACCGAGGCAACTTCTTCGGCAGATTTAAAGACTACTACGCTTAAGAGCGAGACGCAATTATCCGGCAATCCTGGGTGGACTCTGAAACGCCGACCTAATTACGTGAATCACGATATCTCGTCGACTACCACCGCCGCATCAGTTAATCAAAATCAGATTGATGAAATTAGCTTGCCCAACGATTCATCGAGGAGCACTGAAAAGTCATTAAGTGACGCGAAGGCTGCAAGAAGAGGCACTAAAAGGCCAAAAGCGAAAGATGAGAACAGTATTGTGTCAAGTGTTGCGTCAAAGAGTGTAACAAGAGGTAGCAAAACCTTTAATAAATCTGAAGGTTTCCTTGACTTACCTAAGGCGATAGAATCGGAGGAAAGTGACAATTATCCTCCTCCATTCCGAGCTAGATTATCTCAATTGGTGAGTCTGAATTTTAATGTGCTAATTGTTGTTTTCTTAAAAATTTGATTCCTATTACATTTATCATAATTTTTCTCTATATCACACATAATATTAGGAAACGTAAAATGCTCTTAACTCTTTAAGGGGATCCTAAACGGTTGGCCAAACTCCGACGGATGCTTTGAAGAGTCTTTTGTTTTTTTCTTTTTTATCGACTAAATATGAGGTTAGATAAACTATAAATCTATTTATTGGCTATACGGATTGTTTTTTTACCTGAAATTAGAACCTTCCTCCTTTGTTAATATTAATATTTTAATTTGTACAGGAAAAAGATTTATCAATCTGTATAGTCTCATATATCTTGGTTACAGTATTATGAATGCTTAGAATTTATAATTCTGTAACTAACAATAAGATATATGAGACTATACAGATTGATAAATCTTTTTTCTGTACAAATTAAAATATTAATATTAACAAAGGAGGAAGCGTTCTAATTTCAGGTAAAAAACAATCCGTATAGCCAATAAATAGATTTATCTAACCTCATATTTTGTCGATAAAAAGGAAAAAAACAATAGACTTCTCAAAGCATCCGTCGGAGTTCGACCAACCGTTTAGGATCCCCTTAAAAGGATGCCGGATGTCTGTTTTATCGATCAGATGATTATAGATTTTTCTGCATCAAAATCTTTTTATTGGTTTAATAAAATAATAAATGCTTTTCCACAATTAAAACACGTACAGAAACAAAGTGGGCACCTACCGATTTTATGTTGAAAACAAGAAAAAATTTAAAAACTAAAATTTCTTTATCGACTTTTGTCGTCAGGTCAAAAAAATAATTGTTTAATATAAAAGTTCTGCTGTTTGTACATACAAAATAAGATAGGTTCCAACTAGAAATTTTATGAAGAAGTATTAGTAAACTTTTAGATATAAGTTTAGAAGCCTAATAAATAAGAAAACGGTGCAGAAATTTTCACGCATATGTGTTGTATACGTGCATATGTTTAGACATGTGTGGTGCTAACCATGTGTATATGTGTATACGTGCATATGTTTAAATATGTGTGGTGCTAACCTATCGGAGTTCGGCCGTCTCTCCGGCATCCCCTTAAGGTGATCCTAAACGCCGTCCTGTTTAATTGATAAACAAAAAATTTTAATTTTTTTTTTTAATATTTTTTTCTTCTTAACATAAAATCAGTAAGCTCGCACTTTGTTTCTATATGTAGTTTAAACGTAGAAAAGCATTTATTATTCTATTCGACCAATAAAAAGAAAAGGGTGCACAAAAATGATGTTTTATCGACAAAACAGGACGGCGTTTGGAATCCTCTCAAGTTTTATCTAAAACGAGAAAAAAATAAACCATAATACTATGAGAATTTTAAATATCCATAATTTTTAATACATATCAGAAACGCATACGACGTAATAAAAAATATGAAAATAAAAATGTAATTATTTCGTAATATAATTATTTATTTATTTAATTATAATATCTATATTTATATTTAACGCAAGATTTTGTTATTATAATATATTTATTCGTCGCAAAAAATTAGTATATTAAAAAAATATCTTAAACACAATTCAAAAATTGTTTTGACAAGCATTTTCATAAATTGTAATTTTTATCTGTTTATTGCGAACTATTTCCACAATATTTGTAATGATATTGTGAAAAAGAAAATAAGTAATAAGCGCACATTCACAATCAAAAAATATTTTCAGAAAAACTCTAATTTGAAACTTACTGACGAAAAGAGTACAACTAGGATCAGCTTGCAGGTAAGGTATGGCGGTCGAAATATTAATTGAATTAACTAATAATTAATTGCGATTAATGCATTAATGATTCATAACTTTTATATTCCCAACTTAAATTGCATTTGCAAACAGTTAAATTTATCAAATATTGCATATTTAGTATTGTTGGAATTAGTAATTAATTTTTGAACTCTTTATCTTGGAACTTGCCCCTATCAGTGCATAAAAGTATAATAATATGGTACGGATAAAGTAAAATTAAATAATGGTAATGACATTTTCTCGAAAAAGCATGAAATTAATGCATGTATTCGAAAAAATTAAAACTGTAGGAAATGTGTTTGTAATAGACATAATCTCACACGTCGTTTCCCTTAATTCTGATAATTTTTAAAACAGACATTAAATTCACGAAAAGCGCAACAACAATATAGCAGGAACAATAAAGCAGATTTTTAAAGAGATATTTTGAAATTTTTACGCATAATCTGATCTCTGGACCAGTTAAAAAATATTTTGTTGTTTTTCCTATTTAATTTTATTCACGTTCATCCGGAGTCTTTTTAAGAGATTATACCATATATACATTGTACAAATAGATGTCCGTTTATGAAAAGAATATAAATAACATTTTCTTCCAGCTATGAATGGAAAGATTTTAAAGGAAAGAGAAATTCTTAACTTTGATTTGTATTTTTTATCAAGAAATTCTTTGTGGAACACAGATTATTTCTCACAATCATCGATCATCGAACATGAAACATTTCTTGAATTGATTGGAAATATTAAATTAACACAATACAAAATAAGGAAACAATGTACTAATTGCTATAAAAAAGACGAACATCGAAATGCATCATTAAAAAACCAATAAAAATTGGCCGATGATGCATCATTAACATCTTTTTACTTGACTGGTGATGATAAAACAATATTGCAAAATCTACTCTTTAAAGTTTTCGCCAGAAAATTTATAAGATGCAAGAAACATTAGAATTTGGATACAACAAGATTAAACAAAATTGAATTAAACAATATATTGTGATTTGTGATGTAGGACGTGACAAAACCTCTCAACGAGTTTTCTCAAGATATATATATATATGTCGTAGGCCAATGGTTATTTTCAGCAAATGGCTTTTGCTAGTCAAATGTTACCTGCCATGTCAAATGGTTTTCGTCTCTCTTCAATTGCTACTTTCCTGGTCAAATGTTATTTTCTTAAGCAAATACTATTTGACAGAACTGCTGTTAGGCAAATGGTCATGCATTGATGCATTTCAATATTTGTAAGGCTATGGTTATGTTCCGTAACATAACCTTATAATACTACTGTTTTGCGGTTGTGCAAAGTGTTCTTCAAATTCGTCAATTTTAAAGTCTTATGTACAGTTTTCTTCTTTCATTGTTATTTACTAACAATAAGTACTCTTCTCCGGCAAATGCATACAATAAAGTTATTCTTACTTCGTATAATTCCACACAAAAGTAGATATCTAAGGGATATCTATTGGATATCTATACATCCATATAATGTCCACATCCATTAGGAATATTTAATAGATATTTAATAAATTTAAATGTCTATATCTCCTGAATAACCAATGGTAATATCCATTGCGAATATCCACATAATATCCACATGTCCACATCCATTGAAAATCTACTAACAATATTCACTGGATATCCATACATCGTCCACAAATCCATGTCCACTGAAAATCTATCAAGGATATCCATTGGATATCTCTACATCGTCCACAAATCCATGTCTACTGAAAATCTCTCAAGGATATTCACTAGATATCCACATAATATCCATATGCATTGAAAATCTATTGCAATATCTACTAGATATCCATACATCGTCTACAAATCCATATCCACTGAAAATCTATCAAGGATATCCACTGGATATGCATATAGTTCTTTCATTTACCGCTATGCACCGCAAGCTGAGCTATCTATCTCGTTATTAAGTTTTAGTCAGAGAATTATATAAAGCATGCGAAAAGTAGCTATTTCAATCAATAATTTTTTCTGATACAATTTCTACACAGAGAACTAAAATATTAAACTTGGCAAACTTGATTTCGATGTAACTAGCAATTTTATTTAATTCTTTCACGACGTTTCGACCATTTGGTTGTGGTCCTTATTAAGTGAAAATTCCATCAATTAAACTGAGATTAACGCAACATTACACCGGTCTTATTTAAAATTAATAGTTACAAGTTAAAAAAGGAGAACACGTCCCATCGCTATAATGTTTCGTCAACGACATTGGTCATCGATCAAATGGTCGAAACGTCGTGAAAGAATTAAATGAAATTGCTAGTTACGTCGAAATCAAGTTTGCCAAGTATATTTTCACCACTAGCGTCCAATATTAATTTTGATTGATCTTAAAATATTAAAATTGATTACTCAATTGGACAAATAATATATATTGCACGTATATTTAATCGTTTTTATATTACATTGTCCAGTGGAATATCGCTACTGGTTATTTATGTAGATATCTTATATGTATTTATAAGAGATCCAATAAATATCTGATGTACATATATAATAGATATTGATATAAATATCCAATGGATATTGATCTACATATTCTGTGAATATTATATGGAACATGGAATGAATATCCACGCAAAAATCTAATAAATATTTAATATACATACAATGAATATTTACATAAACATTTACTGGATATTGTATGAATATCTAGTGGATATTTATGTCGATATCCTATGGATATTTAAGAGATCTCGAATGGCGAACATTTGGATATCTAAAATACGTCTAATAGATGTTTCCTATATGGTATATTCGTGGATATCCACAATGGACGTTATGGATATCCAGTAGATATCTAATAGATATTATTTTCTGTGTGGGTATATCATGCAAGTATCATTTATTACATGAAATATTGAGGACTGAGAGAAAATAATTAGTATTCAAATATTAATTCGAGTAAAGAAATAGTATTCTATATCTCAAAACATATAATAAGAAAACTGTACATAAAACTTTAAAATTGACGAAATTGAAGAACACTTCGCATAACCGCAGAACAGTAGTATTATAAGGTTATAATTTAGGAATAGTATATATATCGCTAGTGGTAAATATAAATGTAGAGTTAAATCGACGGCTACTGGCTAGTTACGTCGATTTAACTCTGGATGCCGCATGGTTGAACAGCGTAATGCCGACGTTTTGCAAACGTTGCAGTATGCATCTTCAGGGCTGAGAGCTCCGATATTGAGCGTTCTTGGGTTGTGGTCCTTATATATATTATGCGAGGTTTTTCACCTACGGAAAGTATTCCGTTATGACGCCGCCTAGTGGTATTTGTGTATATTAAGAGCAATGTGCTAAATAGGGTTTGTTTGATAACCTTTGTCGCGGTTAAAGTTGTCGGGATGTTTCAGAATTTCTAGGGTTTCACGATGTTTCCTGGCGAAATAGTTTTGCGAGGATGCTAGTCTGGTTGCTTTGTTGTATTGTACCGAGTGTCCCGTTTCCATCCAATGTTCTGCCAAGACTGATTGACTAAAATGACAGTACTTGGCACTCCGTTGGTGTTCCTTAATTCGTGTACTGATCTTTCTCCCAGTTTCTCTTGTGTACACTTTTCCGCAGGAACAAGAAATTCTATATACACCTGGTGTTTCTAAGTGTGGTCTCCGATCCTTGGGATTAGGAAGTAGTTGCGCAATCTTATTTTGAGGTTTGGAAATTACTTTGATGTTGTGTTTATCCAGGATCCTGCTAATGCGTTCTGTTGTACCCTGAAGATACGAAAGGATCATCCATTTTTTATCTTTTTCACTTGTACTCATATTTGTAGAACACATATTTGTGTACTCATATTTGTAGAACTGGAGATTTTATTTTTCAGTCTTTCAGTTGTTTGATGGATGTCTTTGCTGTTGTACCCATTCTTGGTCAATACTTGGTTGAGATGTTCTAATTCTTCATTCAGGGAAGTTGGTTCAGAAATTGTTAAGGCTCTGTATATTAATGAACTGATGACAAAATTCTTCTGAGTCGGGTGATGATGAGAGATGGCATGAAGGTAACGATCCGTATGTGTTGGTTTTCGATAAACCCGATGGTCTAAGGTGCCGTCTTTGTTCTTTTTAACCAACACGTCTAGAAAAGGGAGCTAATTATGCTGTTATATTTCCATTGTGAACTGAATATTGCGGTGCTGGGAATTTAGAAAGTCGAGAAATTGAGGGAGCGTTTTTCTGCCATGACTCCAGATGACAAAGGTGTCAGCAACATATCGAAACCATGTAGAGGGTTTTAGAGGTGCGTTTTTCAGGACTTTATTCTCAAAATTTCCATGAAAATGTTTGCAATGATAGGTGAGATGGGGGATCCCATTGCTGCTCTGAAAGTTTGTTCATAGAACTCTCCTTGGAATTAGAAATAGGTTGAGGTTGAGGTTAGGCAATGTTATATTAATGGAAAAAAATTTGAGTCAATATTTTCATATTTTTTAATAATATGTAGAGTGTCTTGTACTGGAACATTCGTGAACAAAGATACTATATCAAAACTGACAAGAATGTCATTAGTTTTTGTTTTGAGTTTGGTAATCCTGCTCACAAAATCTGTTGAGTTTTTAATGTGGGAATCATTGAGTCCTGTAAGGGTTTGGAGAGGTTTAACGAAAAACTGAGCTAATTGATAAGTGGGTCCTCCGATATTGCTAACAATAGGGGTAATGGAACTGAATCTTTATGGATTTTCGGGAGACCATAAAGTCTGGGGGCTGAAGAGTCTTCCATCGAACAACTGAAAGGCTGAAAAATAAAATCTCCAGTTCTACAAATATGAGTACACAAATATGAGTACACAAATATGTGTTTTACAAATATGAGTACAAGTGAAAAAGAAGACAAAGAAGATAAAAAATGAATAATTCTTCCGTATCTTCAGGGTACAACAGAACGCATTAGCAGGATTCTGGATAAACACAACATCAAAGTAATTTCCAAACC